GCCCAATGCTTATCCTACAGCATCATGGGAGCTCCTTCAAATCCTTTCTAGCTCCCCTTAAACCATTCGCTCTCTGAAACCTCTGGGCCTTTGCTTTGGCTGTTCCTGTGCCCTAAAATGCCCAGCTAGTGCCCTCTTACTTATCCGACTTACTCCTGCTTATCCTTTAGACCAAGCCCAAACAACCACGCCCCAGGAAGGCCTGCATCACGCTGCATCCACCAGGGCAGGAGCTCCCTGCATCCTGTGTCGAACTTAGCCAGTCACGCACCGCCTGTGTCAGCCTTACTGTCTCCTCTATTGCCTCTCAACTCCTTCCACCCCCCAAGGGAGCAAAGGAACACACATTTGGGTAAAGCCAGAGCCTGGCCCAGCCTGCACTGGAATAAACTAGGAAAGGAGGTGAACGCTGTCTTCTAATGGCGTGAGGGTTTGTGTAGAGTCAGCAGCAGGCCAAGTCTGGGTTGCTGAGGGGACAGAATAGGGGCACTAGAGAGGATGCCATTCTTTGGGTCAGGAAGTATGTCTGAAACCCCTCGTGCATCGCCCCCCCCCACCCTGCAGTGCTGAGTGTGGCCCGATAGATGGGTGAACTGCTTGGCAGCCGAAGCAGGAGTGCTGGCAGGTTTTAGCAGGAGTGATGTCAGAATAATTGAACATACGTGCTCTATATAGTATAGCAAGCGTTTGTTCAATTTGGGTTTTCACAAAGGCTTTTCACCGGTTCCCACTTTATCCTTTCATCATGAAGAAACAGGACAAAAAGGAACCCCAGGGCTTGTTGGGAAGTAGCGGACCGCAGGGCTGGGGTGGAAGAAGCACGAGATGAGGCTGGAATAGGAAGTGCTCGGGGAAGGGTGGTCACAGGGGGGCATGGTGGGCTGCAGTTGGGCATGCCGGGACAATTTGAGCATCGAAAGAAATGAGAGTAGTAAAGGGTTATATCGTCTATCATCAAATAAAGCCCACGTGGATATAACTAAAGGAATGCCTAAATTTAAGACCAGAAAGCTCCTAATGAACAAAAACACCCAAAAACCCCAAGCCGAGAAAGAAGGCCATGGGGGCTAAATAGCCGTGTTGGCCGATTAAACAGCTACTGAGAATTCCTGGAGTTGTTGCAATTTTAGGAACACGTTAGCATATCATTTAGTTTCTCCGTAAATATTTACTGGACCTCTACTGAATGCCAGGCTGGAGCATATTTGCTAACACGTCTGAAGTGTGCCCTTTGCGCCAGGCTTGAATAGTCTGCCCAGCAGTCCCACAGAGATGGGAGGCAGCCACATAAGGGACCTTCTGGAGGTCACACACCTGGGGCTCTGCTCCAGTTCCACCTCTAAAGCAGGCAGAAACCAGGCGTACCCCTTCTTTCCTCCTGCTTTGCCTCCAGGGGAGGTTCTTAGCAGGTTACCCCATATGCAAACAGTCTTACCACAGAAACTAGATTTTTGTTTTCAGGACATCCTAGAAAAGGGGGCCTCAGAAGGCCGAAGGGAAACCACAGCTGCCCTGAACTAAGGTCCTACAAATAAAACAGAACATAGTCCACTCATTACCAGGTATTCTTTCCCCTTTCTGGTACATTCTAAAACTCTCCAGTGTTTTCATGCAGCAGCAGTTAAAATGTGGCAGATAGAAGCAGGATCGAGTGGGTTGGGAGCAAATCTATCTGTGGGAAGGAACAACGCGGCGAGAAAAAATCATGAGTGGTTGGGAGAAGTTCAAGCTCACGTTATATAAGGACAGCCCTCTTTGGGTTGAGTGAGTCTTTTTTTTTTTTTTTCTTTAAAAAAAAGACTTTAGAAGCTACGGTTAGGCTACCTTGGGAGAAGCTATGATAATATGAGCTACAGTTAGGCTACCTTGGGAGAAGCTATGATAATATTGCTAATATTGATGTGAAGCTTCAAAGTATAAAGCTAAGATCAAATGTGTTCCAAACTCTAAGCTGGTATCTAGTCTTGTGTGAAAGGCTTATGAGAATTCAGGACAAAGAAAAATCTGTTTTCCAATTTCATTTATATAAGGAAGACAGAGAAACCTAAGTTTTTCTCTAATGACCCAAGCCCACTCTGTATAAGGTCAGGAGTCTCCAAAGTTTCTCTTAATGGGCAAGAGAGATGATACATTAGGCTTTGTGAGCCTTCTAGTCTCCACTTAACTTGTAACAGAAAAGTAACCAAAGCTAGCAGGTGCATGAATGAGTGTGGCTGTGTTCCAATAAAACTTTATTTTTCAAAAATCGTCAGAGGGCCAGACTAGGCTCATCGGCTAGGGTTTGCCAAGCACTGGGCCAGATGATGAAACGTGCATCCGTGGAGGACAAGACCCTTGCGTGGTATGCTGCACGAGGCACCAAAGCTCTCCGGATGGTGAGGCAGGTGGAGGAAAGAGCTTATCAATCACGTCGGCAAATGTTAACTATGAAAGTGAGGGGCTTCGTTCTACACTGGGAAAAAATAGTAGTCTTCAAGGAAAGAAACAAAATCATAAGCCCAGAACTCTTGATAAATTTGAGGCATCTTTGAAACGAATGGATGTACAGAGTTGGAGGGGTGGAGAGTGGAGAATACACTTTTTGGTTGCAAGAGATAGTGGAGGGGAAAAGAAGAAGAAGAAGAAATAATGCAATATTTTAACCAGAGCAATGACATAGTAGTTGAACATTCAGGCATGTTATAGGTTAGCAGGTGTTGATAGTGTGGGTCTTCACAAAGGCTTTTAACCTGGTCCCGCTTTATCCTTTCATCGGGAAGACACACGGCCACAAAAAGGAGCTAGGGCATCTTGGGGAAGAGGCGGACTGCAAGGCTGGGTCGGAAAAGGAGTGCTCAGAGAATAATGGTCACAGGGGCTTGCATGGCGGGGCTCCCTGGACAATTTGAGCATTAAAATAAATGATCATAAAAGGTGACAGGCAGTCAGTCTCTGACTTACAACAGAATTCCAATCTGATGCCTCCCTCATAAGTTAGTTCTAATGTAAGTTGGATACCTCTTTTTGTTGCTGTTTTCATTATTACTGCCTCTTGTTAGAGGAAGGAGCCCTGCTGGCATAGTGGTTACACACGGGGCTGCTTATCTCAAGGGTGGCAGTTCGAAACCACCCGCTGCTCCTTGCGAGAAAGACAGGGCTTTCTACTCCTGTAAAGAGTTACAGCTCAGAAATTCACAAGGGGTGGTTTTCTTTTAAAAAATCTGATCTTTAAACATCTTTGAGTAAACATGTGATAAAGAAAACATCAGCAAATTACACAGTGCACATTGGATGTAGTGCAGATGACTAAGGATAATGGCACTCACTCACTGCCAGCGAGTCAATTCTGATTCGAAACGACCCTATAGGACAGAAGAAAACCACCCCTGTGGGTTTCCTAGTCTGTAAAGTTCTGGAGCGGACAGCCTCATCTTTCTGCCATGGAGCAGGTGGTGGTTTTGAACTGCTGACATTGTGGCTGGCAGTGTCAAGAACATGTATGAAAGGAAGACAGAGGAAAACAAAGAGTAGTGGGGTGTAGGTGCAGCTCGTCAGAGCAAATCTATGGCATGTCAGGGACTGCCCTTCTATTACCTCTCAGTCCATAAGAATGTAGGTGAATGAACAGGAAAAGCTTCTCCTTATATTAGAAAGACAACGAATGCCATGCAGAAGGAATGATGCAAACCCCCTACTTGCCAACCGTGTCTGGTGGCATTGCGGGTAGACTTTTTCTCAGCTTTTCAGGAGATGGCTTTGGTCCATCCTGACCCTGCAGGTTTCGCTTGACTCGGGACTGCGCTGTTCGCTGGCAGCGTGGCATTGCCTCGTTTGCTCCCTCTTTCACGAAGCACACGTAGGGGGCACCTTTCATGACCTGGACCTGTCTTGGCTCTGGGGAGGCGGGCTGAGGTGGACATCGGTGAGGAGGCACAAGCCCTGACTTCCAGGACGATGGGTCCCTATACTGCCCCTGGTGGACGGTTCTTTATAAAGTCGCTTTTCCTTGGGAGTACCGGGTGAAGAGCCGGAGAGCCGTGGTCGTTGGACGGACCTGCGTGGCAAAGAAGCTTTTGAGGCCCTGGTGTGCACACCTGCTAAATGGAGCTAGCGGTCGCCCACTTGGCCCTGCTCTGCCCACCTCATGGAGCTGTGCCCCTCAAACTGGAGCATTCTCCAGCTGCTGGATCAATGTGAGCCAGGGTGGTGGTTAGGGTCTCTGGGTGGTCCTTGCGATTAACGTGCCCAGCTGCCCACTGGAAGGCTAGAGGTTGGCGTGCACTCAGAGGCACTTTGGAAGACGGCCCGAGGGATAGAACACAGGACAAGAAAACCTCTAGGGAGCACAGGTCTACTCCGAAGCGTGGGGTCGCCATGATGTGCAGACAACTGGGGGTAACCACGTGATGTCTTTGTTAGTTGTTTGTGGGCCTGTTCATTTGAAAACAAATGTGCGCCTTCCTGGGGGGAGGAGAGGGGGAACTGATCACAATGATCTACATATAACCCCCTTCCTGGGGGATGGACAACAGAAAAGTGGATGGAGGGAGATATATAGATCAGTGTAAGACATGACAAAATAATAATAATTTATAAATTATCAAGGGAGGGGGGAAATGAGGAGCTGATACCAAGGGCTCAAGTAGAAAGCAAATGTTTTGAGAATGAAGATGGCAACAAATGTACCAATGTGCTTGACACAATGGATGGATGGATGGATGGATGGATGGATGGATGGATGGATGGATGGATGGTGATAAGAGTTGTATGAGCCCCCACTAAAGTGATTTTTTTTTTTAAATGTGGGCCTTCCACCCAGAGACAGGGGGTCTGTCAGGGGGTGACAGAATTGTCCCTGCCTGTGCCGGTGTTAAGAGGAAGAGTACTTTGAGGAAGTCCCAGTAAAGACTAGGAGCACCAGGCCGTGCCCACAGAGAGCGTGTAGCGGGGAGGCCTCCATGTAACAGCATCTGCTGAGCCAGCAGGTAGCTCGGCCGGGAATCCTTGGTACAGGGACTGATGGTGGCCCTTGTGCTTCCAGTGCACCAGGTGGCGGAGCGAGTGGAGGCCCTGGGGCAGTTTGTCATGAAGACCAGAAGGACGCTCAAAGGCCACGGGAACAAAGTGCTGTGCATGGACTGGTGCCGGGATAAGAGGAGGATTGTGAGCTCATCCCAGGTAGGTCCCCCTGCCACTGGACTTCGCTGGGAGAGAGTCTTTGCCAATTAGCCTTCTTCTGGTCTTCGTAGCCTGGCTTATTCTCCACAGCGCATGATTCGCTAAAGAATTTTCATGGCTACTGTACAACCTCACCAATTTGGGTCGGTTTGGGATTGTGAGTAATCAAAATATCGTAGACAACGTGCAATTCCTTTGATGAACCTGCAAATTATGTGTGAGCGAAATCATTTTGAAAAGTGATACTATGGGGGTAGGGGGGAGATGGGGGAAGAAAGGGGGAACCGATCACAATGATCGATGTATAACTACCACCACCCCAGGAAAACGAACAACAGAAACGTGGGCAAAGGGAGATGGGTTGGCGTAAGATATGAAAATAATAATAATTTATAAATTATCAAGAATTTATGAGGGAGGGTGGTGGGAAATGAGGAGCTGATATCAGGGGATCAAATAGAAAGGAATGCTTTGAAAATGATGATGGTGGCATATGTGCAAATGTGTTGGACACACTGGAGGAATGTACGGATTGTGATAAGAGTTGTAAAAGCCCCCAATAGAAGTATTTAATAAAAAAGAAAAGGAATGCTTTAAAAAGGATGAAGGCAACCTATGTACAAATGTGCTAGGCGTAATGGGTGTATGGATTGTTATAAGAACGGTAAGAGCCCCCAATCAAATGATTGGAAAAGAAAAGTGTAGCAGTTTTATTTTGTTAAGGGCACGAGTGAGTGATTGAAATGCCCTCTGTGGCTTTTCATCTAAGATGTTACCAATTCTTGATCTTAAAGAACAGCTCGTTTAAGATACATGTCTTGTTAGGTATAATTTTTGGTTCATTTTATATTGTTGGCGTAGTTTATTTTATATCTTACACATTCGTTATCTATAGCTGTGTAACTCATTTCTCCACAATGTAGGTTAAAAGAACAAACATTTATTACCTCACAGGTCCTGTGGGTCAGGCATGCAGCAGTGAGTTGGCTGAGGGTGCTGGCCAGGTGTGGGGCAGGCTGCAGGTACGGAAGGCTGAACTAGGGCTGGAAGACCCAGTTCCAAGATGGCTCACTCACCTGGCTCTTGGTTGAAGGCCTTAATCCCTGGCCATCGGGGTCTCTCCATAGGGCTACGCACGATAGGGTCACTGGCCCCACCCCAGGCAAGTGCTCCAAGGGAAGATGGCACCTCTGCTCACTGGTTTTTGTGGCCTAACCTTGGTGATGAGGTCCCATTCATTCTGCCATATTCTGTTGGTCGT